GAGCAAGCTGTTTGGAAGTACCCCCCAATGGCACATTCACAGCTAGCATCTTACTCTAAACAAAGTCCACTCAAGGTCACCTGGGCCTTCACAATTCCTGAAAGGTATTATGACAATAAAGGACCCTCAGTTGATCTAGATGGATTACAGACAGCAGTGAATCTAGTTTTCAAGCACCACTAATTTATCAGGCTTCATAAATCTTTAATCCTGAATAGAATTAGGTATGGAGCCTATCAATGTATCACAGAAAAACAGATAATTAATTAAACAGAGAATTAATTAAAAACAAGCATGTTGTTTATTAGTAGTTTTAAACTTCAGTATTTCTTACCTGCTGGGTAGCTGTCTCTTTTAAGATTCTCCGACAGGTCCTTGTTTTCAATATTAGAGCAGTTTTAATAGTACATAGCCAATCCACTTCAGGGGATAGAGCAATGTGTGTGGATAAAATTATTCAACTGTTATAAAAATAAAACAGATTTGTTCCTCTTTTTATCTTTCTTCCAATTCATGCCATTGGTCTACAGTAGAGTGATTTTCTTGGTAGATACCATTAATCTGTACCCATACTTAGTCATGAAAATACCTTATTGTTACAGTGTCTAAGAATATCTGTGATTTTATGTGTCAAAGTTTCTATCGAGCAAATATAGAGAATTATTAAACCTTAAAAAAACTATTTTGTAATTTTAAGCATGAAATCTATAAAAAAAAAAGCTAAAGATAAAGAATGGGCAAAATTTTATCTAATTCTCTGCATCCCTTTCCTGCTATTTAGTTTTCATGTGTCTAAATGTAGTCTAAATTATGTCATAGTTCCCACGAAAATCAGACCCTATTTAGAATTTCCCTAGTTATTCCCTAGTTATTTGTATTTAGTCTTCCTCCCTTATTAGAGATACCTTGCATCATTAAGCATTACATGGTTACAGATGAAAAGAGACTTGCGTCCATCAAGTTCAGCCTTCCTCACATATGTTTTTGCTGTTGATCCAAAATAAAGGCATAAAACCCAGTCTGAAGCGCTTCCAATTTTGCAACAAACTAGGAAAAAATTCCTTCTTGACCCCAAAATAGCAGTCAGATGTCTCCTTGAATCAAGCAGCTATTACCCTACTAATTAGAAATTAGATCCCTCTATGCTAAGTTTTTTGCAAGTATTTATCCAATTGCAGTTTAAACATCTGTATAGACTCTGATGAAACCACTTCTTCAGGCAGAGAATTATAGTTCTTACAGTAAAAAAAAAAACAAAAAAAAAACTCTTCTTTGCCTTAGACTAAATCTCCTTTCTTCCAGCCGAAATGTGTGACCTTGTGTCCTATGTATAGCCCTGTTTATGAATAGATTTCCAGATAATGGTTTGTACTGGCCTTGAATATATTTGTATAATGTTATCATATCCACTCTGAGGTGCCGTTTTTCCAAACTAAAGAGATTTAAATGTTTTAACCTTTCTTCATAATTAAAATGCTCATTTCCTTTTATCAATTTTGTAGCCCGTCTCAGCACTTTTTCTAGTGCCGTGATATCTTTCTTTAGGACAGGTGCCCAAAATTGCACAGAATATTCAAGGTATTCATGGAGACATTTGTATTTCTTACACTAGTTTGTACCCCCATTCCAGGTCCTGTTCTTGACATTTGTGATACATACAGTTTTTTATTTTATTGAGACATTCGATTAATGTATTACATTTTTGTGGTTCTTCTGTTTCTACAGGTGAACTTAATACAATGAACTTGATTGTACTAGCTGGCACTTATAACGTAACCTCGACTACAAAAATACTCTGTTATTTAGTGGCATGCCTTGCAGGGTAATATTTGTCTATAACATTTGTCATTTGTTTTTTGTTTTTTTTGTGTTTTTTTTCTTGATATAAATGCTGGATTAGTGCAATACTGGAAAAACATGTTATACCTAGAGTTGAGCGAACCCAAACTTTAAAGTTCGGGTTCATACCGAACATTAGGTTTTTTTGGACCCCAGACCACGGACATATCACTGTATGTTCAGGTTGGAGTTTGGTGTTCGGCGATTGAATGGCGGTTTTGAAAGGCTGCAGGGCAGCCAATCAACAAGTGTTTGACTTGTGTGCCCTTAGAAGCCATCACAGCCATGCCTACTAATGGCATGGCTGTGATTGGCCAGTGCAGCATGTGACACAGCCTCTATATATAAGCTGGAGTAGCGCCGCACGCACATGCAGTCTTATTAATGTAGGGAGAGGATGCTGCCGCTGATAGGGACAGCTTATAAATAATTCTGCAAACTAGTACATTAGTGGGGTGCACTTCATATCTGAGAGTCAAATAGAAGCTTCAAATACCGTGGTTACATCAGAGTTTTAAAAAGTAATTTTTTTTTGGTGCTAAATAGTACATTAGTGGGGTAGTACATTAGTGGGGTGCACTTCCTATCTGAGAGTCAAATAGAATCGTCAAATACTGCTGTCACATTGCAGTTTTAAAACTTAAAATTTTTTGGGTACTAAACTGCTAAATAGTATTTTAGTGGGGTGCACTTCATATCTGAGAGTCAAATAGAAGCATCTAATAGTGTGCTTACAGCGCAGTGGTAAACATTTTTATTTTCTGGGTGCTAATCTGCTAAATGGTACATTTTGGGGCATGCACTTCATATCTGAGAGTCAAATAGAAGCGTCTAATAGTGCTCTTCCAGCGCACTTGTAAACATTCTAATTGTTTTGCTGCTAATCTGCTAAATAGTACATTTTGTGGCCTGCACTTCATATCTGAGAGTCAAATACAAGCGTCTAATAGTGTGCTTACTGCGCAGTTGTAAATATTCTAATTATTTTGCTGCTAGTCTGCTAAATAGTAAATTTTGGGGCCTGCAGTGCACTTCATATCTGAGAGTCAAATCAAAGCATCTAATAGTGTGCTTACAGTGCAGTGGTAAACATTCTTATTTTCTGGGTGCTAATCTGCTAAATAGTACATTCTGGGGCATGCACTTCATATCTGAGAGTCAAATAGAAGCGTCTAACAGTGTGCTTACAGCGCAGTGGTAAACATTCTTATTTTCTTGGTGCTAATCTGCTAAATAGTACATTCTGGGGCATGCACTTCATATCTGAGAGTCAAATAGAAGCGTCTAATAGTGCTCTTCCAGCGCACTTGTAAACATTCTAATTGTTTTGCTGCTAATCTTTTAAATAGTACATTTTGTAGCCTGCTCTTCATATCTGAGAGTCAAATCGAAGCGTCTAATAGTGCGCTTACAGCGCAGTTGTAAACATTCTAATTGTTTTGCTGCTAAAATGCTAAATAGTACATTTTGGGGCCAGCGGTGCTCTTCATATCTGAGAGTCAAATCGAAGTGTCAAATACTGCTGTCACAATTGCAGTTTTACAACTTAAAATTTTTTGGGTGCTAAACTGCTAAATAGTATTTTAGTGGGGTGCACTTCATATCTCAGAGTCAAATAGAAGCGTCCAATAATACGCTTACAGCTCACTTGTAAAAATTCTAATTTTCTGGGTGCTAATCTGCTAAATAGTACATTTTGGGGCCTGCTCTTCATATCTATATATATAAGTCATGCTACAACAAAACTAAACAAGTTTTAAAATATGTATGGGCCAACCAGTGGCTGTAAACAACAAAGTTTTACTGGTTTCATTCATGACTACACACTCTAGTGAACAGGACCTTTATGTAGTGTGTTCTTTTTAAAAAAAAAAATCATACAGCATCCTTTCATGTGCTTTTCAGATGTCATATTGTGAATTACCAATTTTTGTGTAGCCTGATTTTTTTTTTTTTAAAGTGAAAAATAAGTGTTATTGTGATCGCTTCATATACAGTAGCATTAATATACATTTCTATATTGTGTAAAGACACAACTACAAAGTTAAAAACAAAACACCAAAACAACGTGCCAGAAAATCTACCTGTGCATGGCTAGTGTGATACAATAAGTCTACATCTTAAAAATGCAATAACTCACAGAAGATGGGCGAGAATTTTTTTTCAAATGGAACTTTGATTCGAATTTACTACATCGAACTTACTTGTTACACAGATCTAAGTGATAGAAAACAGATTGATATTTTCTACACTGGAAACTACCAGATAACAAGCTGCTCTATTTAAACCAGTGATCAATAGCTAAGAGGTACTTCAACAATATTGTAATTCTGGGGCAATACCCTCACAAGTCAAACCGAGAGGTCAGTTTATAGGGAAAACTGTTGCCTGGAGGAAATTCTAAAACAATTTCCATATGCCAACTGCTGTGGCTTTCTGCAGTGTACATACCGGCAAGGAGGGCAGGGTTCAGGAGTGGGTGGAAGATGATGTGGAGTATGATGATATCCTAGACCCCACATGGAATCAAGGTCATGCGAGTGACGTGTGCAGTTTGGAGGAAGAGGTGCTGGTCGCAGAGAGGCACTAGCACAGCATAAGAGGGAGCAGAGTGCAAAAGCGGAGTGGCCGTCACCTAGCCCTCGTCGGCATGTATTAGCTCAAGAATTACCAGTTATCCAAGTAATACATGTAGCGATCAAAGGATCCATAATTGAGTTGAGCAAACCCGAACTGCAAAGTACCAGATTTAATGATCCATTCGTAGTTTCACAGTGAGGTGGGCAGTCCGGTAACTTGGACCCAGGACCCAGTATGCCTGATGTTGAAGTTAGGAGTCAAAGTGTGGAATAGATTAGAAAGGTCTGGTGCAGGGTAACCGTACACCCCCTGGTGTTGAGCACCAGCGTTTGTGCGGCCACATACCAGGACCCTGATGCAGCTTCAGTAAAAAGAGTACTTAATACCAGAAGCAATCGCCAGACTGATCCGCAACTTGGAACAGGATATGACATTCACTGTAGTGGCTGTGTGCTCTTTTGGCATTGTCACCCTGCTGCTGCTCTCCTGTCTGCGCTGCAGCGTAACTTCGGCCTTCCCGCTCACCACCTCATGAGACTGTGTGAGCAGCAGCAGGTGATAGTGGAGTTTCAGCTGCAGCACGCACATGCCAGTGGCTCTGCACCAGACTTCCCTCCAACTGATCAGAGTTAAAGGATTTCAATTGGACTCATTACAATTACAGGGCCTCTAAAGAGTCCTGTATTGTTATTTGTCGTCACTACCTTCCCGCGTCGGGAGTGGGTCATTTGAGCGCCTGCTGCCTTCCTTGCATGTGGTAGCCGTTTCTCAGGGTCCCTGTACAGAATGGAACCCTGATTCCCCGTTACCTGTGGTCACCATGGTAGGTGCAGAAACTGGAATTGAAAGTTGATATGGATGACATCCGCATGCAAAGTCGCCGCCACAGGGTTTGTCAAAGTTTGGCCGAACCTGCCGGACCAGAACATCCAGGTGTCTGCTCAACTCTAGTTATAGCTTGTTCACTTTCTGATGTGGCACTAAAAGACTTACATTTAATAAAAATACAAAGACAAATGAAATTAAAGAACATATTTTAGTTTGAATTGTTATACACTGTTTAATTTGCTTGTTTGCTTTTTCTTCTCTCGTTTAAAGAAATTACTTTCATAAAATGATACTTTAATATTATATTTTGTTCTATGGACAGATAATACTCTAATGAACGCAAAGTCGGTACCACGTTCAGAATTCCTGTAATGAACACATCATTTTCATCTACTATATTCTTCACAGGCCCCAAGACAAATGTTATGCTATAAAATGATATGATATTACTTCTTCCATGATGGTATTTCAATAAATACATTTAATTCATTCTAAATATATATCTAGTATGATGCCAGTTATAATTCTGTTGGTGCTGAGAAGAGATGGGGAAAGTGTTTCCATTTCAAAAGTAGTTCTGCCATTTGTAACACCAAAGAATATATTATAAGAAATGAAACAAACTTGTCTAGCCAACTATTAAATTGCAAATAACAAAACACAAGTAATACTAAATAAAACAATACTCACAATGCATATGTAATATGCAGTGTAGTGATTAAAGAATTTTTGTTTGTTTACTTTGCCAATTAAATGTTTATTAAGGTAATTATTCATTTTTGAAATAACAAATCATACTTAGCCATATAGCTGGAGTTTAAAAAAAAATGTAATGTGATGTATGTTTAACACTTATTTCATGTTAGATTGTGTCAATTTGCCCATCACTATACAAAATTAATAAGATTAAATATAATTATATCATTACTAAAAAAGTAACAGTAGAGGGCACCAAAACACACAAGGTACTGGGGTCGGGTCAAACTGAAAGTTACTATACACAAGTGGAATATATATACTGAATACCCTGGCTGTACATTTTCCTGCTTTTATGTTTAGCTAGACCGACAAATGGGAAACTTTCCACAGATGGAGCAACACGGGGGACATATTTAAAGAGTTTATCCAACACTTTTACATTCATTTTTTATCTTAATAAAATAATGCCCTATTTTTCCTGGCACTGCAGGTCCCCTCTCCCTTCCACCTCCCATCCCCGGTTGCTGAAGGGGTGAAAACCCCTTCAGTGACTTACCAGAGGCAGCAACATGACCCACGTCGCTGCTTCTTCCTCCGCTGCCGCTCTTTCAGTCCGAGACTGATCCCGCCCGCTGCATTAGAGCTCTCCATAGGAAAGCATTGAAAATTGGAGAGGACGTCCAGTGACGCTCTAGCACAGGTTTTCTGTGCTATAATCCAGGAAGTGCCATCTACTGGCTGTCTTGTAGACAGCCACTAGAGGTGGAGCTAACCCTGCAAGGTAATTATTGCAGTTTATAAAAAACTGCAATAATTACTCTTGCAGGGTTAAGGGTAGTGGGAGTTGGCACCCAGACCACTCCAATGGGCAGAAGTGGTCTGGGTGCCTGGAGTGTCCCTTTAATTGTGTGTAAATGCTTAATACTAAAACTTTTTAAATGAACTGTATCCGTTCCCTTTAAAATATTGTTTACCACTTTTTGATGAAGAAGCCTCTTAGAACTGTTATCTTTTAAGCAGATATATCTATTACGTCAATTTGTTAAGATAAACATCTCAAAGGGATGATTGTGAAGGCAGATCATGCTTTGTTTAACATTCTCTCCCAGTGCTGCTGGTTTAAGTATTTTTTTATTTATTTAATAAAGAATATATGAACATTATGAGATAATTCATCAATGTGGTAATCTTTCACTCTGGGCATGAACCCTGGAAACATTAATATAAAAAGCAAAGTGAGGAAATCCTTATTAAGGAAATTTCTCTAGGGTACCGATGTATGAGAGGCTGAAGTAAATTAGTGCAATAGTTAAAACATAATGAGGAAAGTATCTATCATGTATGTCAAGACACAGAACTTCCCAAAAATCTATTAGCCACAAATTATCCCAAAAATGTATTAGCCACAAATTATCCCAACTATATAAATAAGAAGTGCAATCTGATATAGCAGAGGCAGATAGAAAATATGCTCAATTCCAAAAGAGTGGATACAAAAAGGTACATTGTGGCAAATAATATGCCTTAACTTTCACAGACATTGACCTTGTTAATTGTAGAGGGAATGGGGAGAAATCGACTAAGCAGTGGCTTGGTATAAGAGTCTATATGGGGTGGTCCTGGTAGAGAACCAAGTATTATATCATAAATATCGAGATACTAGTACATCACAGAGTGAAAAAAAAAACATCAAACATTGCTTATAGGTGATATGCTCAAACATGGCCGTTAGCATTGAACAACTTCTACAAAATGAGCCTAGAATCTCTAATAATGTTTAACTCTAGGGTATACTGGATTGCTACTATAGTGCTATCTAATATCAGCTAAGAAGGTGAGATATTCCCTAAGACATCTTCATGGATGTCAATTAGGCTAAATTCCCCCTAGCTATACGTGGTTCTAAGAGTAATATCTAAATACTATTTGCAGCTACCTCGGCTAGACATTCTCTGAGCCCTTCAACAGATTATTAGAGGGACTAGTTCTCCCTTTAGCTATGAATGAAAAAAGCTCCAGGAACCTGCTTCTGTATGAACAAGTCTCCACACTCCCATATAGCTCTTAATCGTTACGGATTAAATAAAAATCGAAGTGAAACAAAACGTGGTCAATCAGAGTGGGGGCTGGGGGGGGTTATTAAAAAAAAATTAGGAATGGAGAAGATTAAGTTCATTTTTAATTTCAATACAATGTTTTTTTTTACTGTTTTACTGTAAATATTACCACTATCACCGATCAACTTTTAAACATTATTACTTACAGGTTCACTTATCTTTTTATATCAAATATTTGTTTTAGATATATGCTTTTAAGAAGGTATTAGGGAATTATTAATAAGTAAGAAATATAATATTAAGATTAGACCCTGTTTCAGAATGTAAAACTGTTTATTTCTGTTACATATGCTGAATTTCAGCAATAGGAATACACAATATATATATAAAACTGGACCCCTGTTTGCAATATACTTCTTTTAATAAGCACGGACACTTTCGGGCAATATAGTGTTTCCAGATGTCAGAACTATATCCATGTGATGATGTCTGGAACGCATGATACGTTCCATTGAAGAACTATACCGGAAGTGACATATCGCAAACTCCCAACCGGAAATAAGGCAAAAGCGGCGTATTTAAAATGAAGCAAATATAGCAGAGGATTTGAACCAACTGAGGAGGCCCCATCACAGGGACGAAATGCATTTTGAACTATTTGGATTGCTTTGCACTTTCTAGGGCTATATTGTCCATACAGTATATAAGGTTTTTTTATACATTTGATTTTATTTATTTACTTAATAAGGTATCTTTCACAAGCAAACCTTCAGCATCCTGTATCCAGGTTACCAGAGGTATAGAAAGCAGACTGGGAGCAATAGGAGTTGGACCTCCTCTAAGTGTCCTACCACACTTTCCATCAGAGCCATATGAGGTTAATGGCTCTTCACTTGTGAGTGACACTCCAGATTTTATTTCTTTTAAGCATTTGTACTGGCTATATTGCAATATTGTTTTGTTATATTTTATCTTTACCGATTCATATTATGCCCCTCCACTTTATGTATGTATATTTTGTGTATTTGTAGAGATGGTTTAGGGGATACCAATCAAGGTGTTTAGAGCTCTTTTTACTTTTATTCAGCATTGTTTCCTAAATGCACATGTCCAGCTGTTGTGATGTCAAACACCTTGAGGCTCAGCCAGCATTTCCTCTCTCAGGGCATGATGGCAGTTGATATTACATAAAGACAAAAGCTCTCATTGGTGCTATATGAAGGCAGATATTTATTTAAAAAGTCGTTAATAAAACAGCTAATTATAATAATGAAAAAAGAAAAACATATGGTCCAATATGATCTTTATTGCCTAAATTATCAATTTGCATTCGGAATTTAGGTGTAACTTCATTAAGTAAATTGTATAAGTAAGTGAAATAATGCATTGCTAATCCAAGTGCGATCATTACTTTCACGATATAAAACATCTTACCAGGAAATTCTACCTACAGTGCACTGAACTCAGCTAAGTCATTTAAGTGGCTGGCTAGACAATAGGTACAACTAGTGATGTATATACAGCATTAACACCCAGCACTCCCAAGCAACCAAGTCCTGCTGAATCTTCAGAGCAGAGGTATTATCTCTGGAAGATTGCCCTCCCCTCCCCACACCATCCCACCCCACCCCATGGTCATCAACTTATTTATAGATAGTACACATCAGCAGGTTTCCATAACACACCAATCAAGTCATTAAACCACTCCTCACCTGAATTCATTTAACACACTGCATCCTTACAATGGTTTAAACACTTATTGATATTTGTATGTGTTTGTATATATGATCTACATATCTATATAATACACATTTTCTCTAATGTTCTCCCTTCTATTTTTCACTTTAACACTAACTTCTGTCATTACTAAAATGTCCCTATCCTTTCACTCACCTGTCCCTGGCAACACCATCATCATCACTTCCACCTTACTCCCCTCCCCTCTCTATTCATCCCATGCACTCTACACATACCTTTCCAGCCTATCTCCACCAACTCTTCCCAAATCCTCTACATACATACCCTCCTACAAAACTTTCAAATCCTACTCCCACCTTCACTTCCTTTCTATCCTTCTGCTCCTAGCTGCTGGTGATGTCTCTCCAAACCCCGGCCCCCTCTCTACAAACTCAGCACATACTAACCCAAGGACCCACACTAATCTCATACCCATCTCTTGTTCCTCTAAATCCTCCTTCAATACTGCCCTCTGGAACGCATGCTCTGTTTGCAATATAACTAAATCCACTGCTGTCCATGACTTCTTCATCTCTCGTTCAATAGATTTACTAGCCTTAACTGAAACCTGGCTCTCCCCCTCTGACACTGCCACCCCTGCATCTTTGTCCTTCGGTGGTCTCCAACTTACCCACAACCCAAGAAACTCTGAATGTAAAGGTGGTGGTGTTGGGTTTCTCCTCCCCCCTCACTGCTCTTTTAAACCTCTTCCCACCCCCCCTTCCCTCTCTTTCCCGTCATTTGAAATACACTCAATTCGCCTTTTCAAACCCTTCTCTGCTAACATTGCTGTTATTTACCGTCCCCCTGGTTCCCCTCTTCTCTTCCTTGACCACTTTGCTGCCTGGC